AGGTGGGAGAGAGCGCTGTACATTCACTCCCCCCACCTACAATCCCTGCCGGTACGAGACTCGAACCCACAACCTCTGGGTTACGAGTCCAACTCTCTAACCATTAGGCCACGACTTCCCCACAAATAAATAAATCTGTAAGATACAGTATATATACATATATATATATATGAAATAAAGGTAAATAAATAAAAATAGAAAAAGAAAGATGAATTAATAAAAATAGAAAGAGAAATAAATAAAAATAAAAATAAATAAAAATAGAAAAAGAAAGCAAATACATTAATCAAAATAGAAAAAGTAAATAAATAAATAAATAAATACTCAATCAATTAATTACCAAACTAAAAAAGAAAGAACGAAAGAAAAAGGAAAATGAATTATTTAAAATAGAAAAAGGAAAAACACTTATGTATGTATCTCATCGTATTGTTTGATATAACTATGTCATATAATTTGGTTTTCTATCATCTAATATAATATCAAATCACAACTAAAGTCTAAACTCAGTTTGTGTTACCGAGAGTGAGATTTGCTGTTTATCAGCAGTTTCTCTCTCATTCACACACCATCTTCATCATCATCATCATCATCTCCATGGAAACATCACGCAGGCAGAAATGACCTTTGGAGGGTTTCAGAGACGAGAGATGGACAGAATGAATAAAATGATGATGATGATGATGATGATGGGAAATATTCATAAAGCAGCTGATGATGAAAGACGGACCAAAAGGAAAGGAAAGTGGTTTGTGAGACTGATGTTGTTTGATTCTGTCGGTTTTAATGTTGCCTCTGATGATGATGATGAGGATGGATTGGTGAGGAGATGAAGAGCACACACACACACTGGGTCCGTCACACACCTCGACCTCTGTGAATGTGTTTGACTTTCTGATCCTGAGTAATAAAATCATAAATGCTCCTCTCTTCTCCTCCTGTGAGGTTTTCACATCACACCGCTGTGAGCGAGCGATCGGACGAGATCTCTGTCAATGCCTGCGTTTGACATCATATAACGGATCTGAGCACGACTGAGAAATCCCTGAAGAACAGAAACATCCAGCAGTGTGAATTCATCACAAACATGATCTGAGCTTCAGAGATGCAGTGAAAACGTCAAGCGTCTGGAGAGACGAGTGAAGATGCTTTCAGACGATCAGCATCAGTCATTCTGTATCCGGACGATCGAGGACAGAGAGCCTGAGGAGACCAGAGACCCGCAGCGGAAACACCACCAGAGACCAGAGAAATAAAAAGAGAAATAAATAAAGAAAAAGTAATATATATATAAATATATATATATATATATATATATACTCTGAACATGATCATTCTGTATCTGTGTGTGTGTGTGTGAGGGAGAGAGAGAGTGTGTTTGTCACCGGGACAATGTTTCAAACACTATTTGTCACAGAGTGTGTGTGTGTGTGTGTGTGTGTGAGTGTGTGTATGTGTGAGGTCATCTCCTGTGATCCAGCAGTTTGATCCTGGTGACCCGTGTTAGAATTGTTAGAAGTTCTGGTAAGAAAGTTTCCTCTGTTCACGTGTGTCTGCTACTGCTGCTGCTGTGAGATGTTTTTACCTCAACAACACACAGATGCAGGAAATCTGAGCCGTTGCCAAGCTCTTAAGTTGTTGCTATGGTGGCTTTTCTTGTGTCGTTATGCAGTTCTGGGTGGTTGCCAGGTAGAGTCCATAATTTTTTTTTTAACCAAAACCGAAATGAAAGTGTAGCTGAAAACCCAAAATAACGTTTATTTAGTAAACAATTAATTATTGAAATAAATAACCATTTAAATTGCACACAAGACAGTTTTTATATAAACTTTTAATGATATATTAATTTGATGTTGAGATACAAACATTTAAATGATAGCTGTAATAAAAAATTGTTTGCATGATTTATTCAAACATTAAATATTGAAGAATAGGTTCAGTGAAAATATTATGAAATGTAATAAAATATTACAAATATTTAATATTGTGTGTGTGCAAATATTCATCATAATGCTCCTCTCTAGAGCAGGGGCGAGGCCGGAAATGTTTCAGTGGGTGGGCAAAGTGTAGCGAATACAGCACAAAGGGTTAATATACAATACTGCTTCGAAAGCATTGATTAACATTTATTTTAATTTCAATATTTACTAATACACTGTTAAAATTAAAAGTTGCATCTGTTAACATTCGTACCTGAACTAACAAAAATACCAACGAACAGCTGTATTTTTATTACCTACCGTTAACAAATATAATCAATATTGTAACAAATGCATATTGCTCATTGTTAATGTTATCTAAAGAAAGTTTATCGTAAAGCATTACAGCAGATGATCTGATGATCAAGTGTCTGTCAGTTCGCGTTCAAAGGAGAGTAAAGATCGAGGAGCACAGAAATGAGCGCAGTTTGTGGAGGAGAAGAGTATCTAGCACTAAGGTTGTGTGTTTCTTTCCTCAAAGAACGCATCTGTTTAGCGAATCAAACATTCGCTAATTGAATTCGCATGATTAAAACGCGCTTGGCTCAGAAGTTTCAACTCCACAAACGCGCGTATTTTACTATTATGTCCTTACGTCTTTAACATAACTAACAGAAAAACCAATCATCATTTTGACAAGCGTATGATATGCACCTACAGGATTAGGGAAGATGAAGAATATTTGTGTGAATATTGTGTGAATATAAAAAAATGAATATTTTTTTTAGACGAAATATTTAAAGTTATAGTGAAATAAGACTTTTATTATTATTATTGTTTAATAAATTACATCCATTTGGAAAATTACAGCTGAAATAGGGTGTAGCCTCGCCACGGCTCTAGAGTTATTTTTTCTAGCTGACTTTTTTCAAGTTTGTTCATTGAATGTCTTTCCGGAGGTAAATGTGATGTTACGTGACATTATTGATCTCTCGCTGTTTTATTGATGTCTTTCTGCAGCTGAATCGCTGATTGATTGATTACATGATTGATTATTGATTTAAGTTATTACTTCTGATTCTTCTGATGTTCGTTCATGTTTATTTGCTGCTATAACTAGTAGTAAAGAGGAAGAGATGATCAGTGACAATTGACAGAATTTATAAGCTGAGCCTTTGTTTCATATTAAAAGTAACAAATCATAAAGACTTTTGGCGCACTTCAAATAATGTTTAGTGAAGTTCTGTTCACGAATCAACTAAAATAACTCAGTTTGTCAAAATGATCAATTATTTTGGCCAAAACCAGAAATTATTTTTCAGCCACCATCATTTTGGTGTCTAAATGCATGTGATTATTTTCATCCATCTGGTTGAATCACACCGTCCGGTGAGAATCTCACGTGTTTCTGCAGGAGTCTGTGTGGAAACCAACAAGCTTTTCTAGAAGCTTCTGCGCTCTCTAATAGAAAAGCCTGTGTTCCTTCTCTCTGGAGTCATTTAAAAGTGAGAAAGTGTTCAAACAGAGCCAAACGCAGTGATTTAGTAGCGGCACCGGGCGCGTTTCTGCTGTAAAACAAATGTGTTCTGCGCTCGCGTCTCCCCGCTGAGGACTTTCTTCAGGAACCGAAATAAACAACACAGAAGAAATCAATACGCTGCGGTTATTTGTAATCTCTGACTGTGTCTCTCGCAGCGGCGTCGGCTCTACAATAAAAAAGCGGGAGATGGAGGAGCGTCGGATACAGGAGAAGAGGAAATGATGGAAAGTCATAGGGGACGCTTAGAGCGTGATGAACGCCAGCGAGAGGACGAGGGAGAAAAACCGAGGCTCTGAATGGCTTCTACTGGAATTGAGCTGTTAAACCCTTTTTTTCTCTTCATTGAGCTGTGGAGGTGCTGCCATCCTGAATTTATAACACTGACACCATCGCCGCTCGAGAATGTTCTGTCTGATCTAACTCAACGTCAGATGAGAGAGAGAGAGTCGTTCTCACACATTCACTGGCCTTTTCCACATGAATCCTGGAGTGCTGTGATGGACCCGGTGCAGTCTGGACTATCCTCATCACCGCCTCTAGTCAACATGAAACTCATTCACAACTCATTTCACTCCCATAACCTGACATACTTTTCCAGGACTTTATTTTTTGTTTTTATAATAGGGTAAAAACAGCTTTCACCATACTTCCCCCAGTTAATTAATCACAGTATTTTAAAATAACTGCTTTCCATTGCAAGTTTTCTAAATTGTTATGTTTGAAATGCGCTAAATATGCACTAATTTGCAGAAATGTCCAGAACATAAATCTAAAGCCAGGCTCATAATTTTTGTTTGGTTTCGTTGACATATTAGAGTTACAGGTTTTTATAGAGGGGATTCTGGATTTCTGTTTTTATCACTCCATAAATCAGAAAATACTGTCAACAGACAGAAAACAAACACATTTTCACCATGTTTTAGGAATAAAATGTCATAAAAACTCACGTGAATGATATATCAACAAACCCCTCAGTAAAAACCTTCAGGATATAGAGAGGAATAAAACCCTAAGTTTTGGTGCATGTAAGTGCTGCTGAAGTGGAGGAAAAACTTTTAAAGGTTTGTACTGTAACAAAAATCTACAGACGCAAATAGATAAAGTCTAATGAAATAAGCACTTAGATGTGTAATTTGGGTGCTTTCTTTCAACTAGTCTGAAAGAATTCAAGTTATATAAGCAAAATAGCCTAAAATCTCAAAACTGAAATGAAAAAACAAAACAAAAAAACAATGGTTTTATCTGTGGCATCTTGCCTTAACATTCTCCTGCATGATTATCGTGATACATTTATTTCTTTAGACTAACATCACTGATGATTAATTCTCAATAAGAGCAGGAATTAATGACTGAGTTTGAGTTCATGTTGACTTTTGAAAACCCTACACCCAAACTGAATGCTCAATAGTCCAAACTGCATTCACAGACAAACACATGACGGTTCACACAGTAAATCAACACATCAGACATGTAGATGTTAAAGGGACCGTATTCCCTCTGCAAACGCTACAGAAGAACGAGCAGAGCGTTTAGTCAATGAATCGGATTCAGGCACAAAAGTCGTTCAGTGTTTAACCCTCTGAGTTTCATTCAAGCGTTACGTGCGGGTTAGTTTGGCGTTCTGTTTAGATGGTTCTGCTTTGACTGATAATCCGTATTCTTCATCTGATCTGCGCTCATTCGGTTATGTGAGTTTAGAAACAGGTTTATGACTGAGGGCTTCAATCCAATGAAAACTAAATGCTAGCGGCTGAAGAGAAGCGGAGGCCCTCAGAGTTTAGAAGAACGCTTGGTTAAATTCTGCTTAACCTTTACGTTTCCCTGTCGGTTAACTCCTTTAACCCTTTGAGTTGACAGACCGTCCACTACACTGATATACTCACACACTTCTGCCACCTCAAGCTCTTTTACAGAAAGGTACAGATTGAGATAATGTTAAAATCTACTGACAGCATCCTACAACTCAACGCTTCAACAGACTGAGAGTTCAGTCAAATGACTCTCTGTGCTCATTTTCAGATCTTGTATTGAACCTGGAACTTTGCTTTACAAAATTTATGCAATTTTATTATACATCTATATAAACGTCTTTTATATTTTACTCGTGAAACTTTTGCCCACACTGCAAAAAGTGAAGTTCTTGCTCAGTATTTTTGTCTTGTTTTTCAGTACAAACATCTAAAGCATTCTTGAATCAAGATACGTTTACTGGAGATGGCAGACGACAAGAAGTCTTCTTTTTTGAGAAATTTATCAAAATTAAAAACAAACGGCTGGCAATGGAGTCAAAGATTCATTAATATCAAGTTTCTTTTCTAACTCAGTTGGCAGATATTTGTTGTTAATTTTGAACAGTTTCTCAGAAAATAAGACTTCTGTCATTTTGCATCTCAAGTAGTCTTGATTTAAAAATGCTTCGATATTTGTGCCGGAAGACAAGACAAAAATACTTTTAGCAGTGAATAAGACACACGACGTCAGTTTCCTCAACAGGCTGACATTTTTAAATAGTATAAAATTGCCCACATGTTCTACTTTTTTATGTTGCAAGCTGATTCTTGCACTAACATTCAAAAAACATCCATGACATGCTGGCTAGTCGAAGCTAGAACTACATGAGACTTCTAACGCCCAGCTGTGCTGTAAGTTTTGCCCTCAGGGTGGGTGTGTCCTCAGAAACAGGAAGTGAATTACCAGGAAACTCGAATGAAACAGCTAGTTAGGACCTCCTGGACTCAAAGGGTTAAAGTTGGAATCAATTTAGATAGAACGACGAGAGCAAAGACGAAACAGAGGCACTGAAATAGAGTCCCTTTAATAACATCTAAAGTTTAGATGGTTGTGAATCAGTTTCTGCTCGATTAGAACGTTTCACAACATTAAACAGCTGTGCGTTTTGTTGGGAGGTTAAGAGAGGGTTATGTGGGGGTTATTGGTAAGGTTAATACTCTGGAGAAGTGCAGTCCCATCGTCAGATGACAGAACGAATCCACAGATCTGAGGATCGCAGCGTTCGTTTGCCCTTCACAACTGATTCGTCTACATATTTCACAATGAGCACTTCTTTAGGTGCAAACTATGAATTAAGAGTAGTAAGGCACTGGTAATGTTGTTTTCTCCACCTTTTAAATCCCAGTTTGCTTTTCGCATGTAAAAAGCTGCGTCCATGGGCCTGCACTTCGTCCAGAGATGTGTTTAGCGTGATTAGACAGACCATTCGTTAGTGGGGTTTGGTGCTGTTTAATTACCTTTGTCGAGTAGCCACTCGTCAACTACCCGACCGAGTCGGTACGGGATTCTTTGCCTAGCAATAGCCAGCCGTTCACTATCAAAGCTCCCTTTGAAGAACAAACAAATTCAACAGGTTACAATCTGGAAGGTCAAAGGTTAAAGATTAGAGGTTAGAGAGAACGCCTTTAAAATCAGATTTAACACCCTCAAGGCTTTAAACATGGTTTGGAGGTTAGAAAGTCAAGCAAGCTCTGGTTACCATGTGTTTTAAACATGAGTTAAGCATATTTATGAGTCATTTTAGAGGTTGAATGTTACTTCTGGATAATTACAGTGCATTAAAGAGTCTTGGTGAACGTGGAAAAGCAACTACTGTCGTTCTCATTAAAAATACATAGGAACATTTCCATATTAGAGTACTGGATCGACATCCAGTCCTGCTGAACATCAACGAGTGAAACTCCAGGAAGACGTTTTCTGTGTGGGGTCAAACGATCACATGTTCTTGAGCGCTTTGATTTACAGCATCACACCAAAGCCGTTTCGTTTGTAGATACCTGCAGCATTAGAGAGAAGGTGAGGACGTGCAGAGCTCATCGTGATTCATATATAAAAACACAGCGAGAATGTGCACACGTCTGCTGCAGATCAACCATCCCGAGTGAGAGTTGGCGTCATCGTGAAATCAAACCTGTCAGTTCTTTAATTAGCTGTAGCCATTTTTCCTCTCTCTCTTTAATGAAGTCACTCGTAGCAGAGCGACTGCCTCTTAATTGCTCCTGCAGCTCAACTGCAAATGATCTAATCAAAATCCCCTACCCACAATCCCCGTCGGCCTTCGCTTAGAGCCCCTCAGCTTTATTAGCGAGATCAAATAAGCCTGGATCATATGTAAATACATAGAGCATTTAGGAACGGATCCGTCACAGAGCGATGCGTCTCTGATTCTGCTTCAACATCAGCGCTGGACCTCAAGGGTTCGTCACAGTCCTCAAACACGTAACACGATCACGCATGTGTGTGTTTATGGGCTCTGACGGCGGCTATCAGATGGTTTCTTTCAGGGGTGTAAAATACTTTTTACTTGATTACTGGACGTACATATTATTTTGGGCAATTTGTACTTTACTCAATTGCAATTAAATCTGAATATTTGTACTAACTTTACTTAAGGCAAGACACGCTATGCAAAACCATTGTTATTTTCATGCACTGCTCTATTGAGATTTTGGTCTATTTTGCTTTCATGTCTTCTTTCAGACTAGAGGAAAGAAAACAAAAATACATAAAGTTTTTTAGTTTATTACACTTTATCTATTTGCGGCTGGATATTTCAATAACAGTAAATATGTTTAAAAAATTTTTCTCCACTTCAGTAACACTTGCATACACCAAAACTTAGAGTTTAATTCCTCTCTATATTCTGAAGGTTTTCACTGAAGGGTTTGTTCATGTGTCATTCACACTGATTTATATTTAGCATTTTATTTCTAATTAAATTAGATTTTTTTTCTCTGTCTAATGATAGTATTTTCTGATTTATGCAGTGATAAAAAGAGAAATCCAAAATCCCCTCTATAAAAACCTCTAACTCTAATAAGTCAACGAAAACAAACAAGAATTTTGAACTGGGCTTCATCCAGTGTTTAGAGTAATGTTCTGAAATGTATGCATATTGGTGCATTTTTAAACATATCATTTGTTTCACACAATCAATATGATTTTACATAATGTACTGTGATTAATGAACTGGGGAAGTAAGGTGAAAGCTATTTGTTTGAAAAAAACAGTACTTGTTATTCCTTGTAGATTACTTCTACTGTTGTAATACTTAAGTACAATGTAAAGTTGTACTTTTTCAATGTCACTCAGTTTTTGGAGAGATAATTGTACTTTTAAATGAGTATTGAGAATTTTCACTCCCTACTTTATTATTTAAAAGTTCTATAATTGATTTTTATTGGTATAATTTGAGTACTTTTTACACCCCTGGTTTCTGTTATATCTGAGATCAGCGTGAGACTGAGCAAGTGTTTGTGCGGTAGAAACAGCCTCATAGCATTTATATGAAACACATCAGAGGCGTTTTATTCTCTCGTTTCACAAGAGTCTTATCTTGGAAAGTGAAATCCTCATTCTGTGCGGAGGAAACGCTTTCCTCTTTATCTGCGGTGTCATTTCAAACGCAGCAGCTCGTCTTTGTGTTACTGGAAATACAGGTCTGATTGTGACAGTGATGTGATGAAGGCAGAGATCTCACGCGGAAAGCAGACCGTGTACAAAACCGTGTTTGTTTTTGTGAATTGTGGGGACTCTCCATAGGCGTAATGGTTTTTCTACTGTACAGACCGTATATTCTATTGTCCTACACCAACCCTACCCCTAAACCTACCCCTCACAGGAAACTTTCTGCATTTTTAGATTTTCAAAAAACTCATTAGGGTTTTTATCACTAGGGTTTGGAACGAGTCCCTCATTCACAAATAATAATTAATAAAGTACTTCTACTTTACGTGAAATGAAAACACTAAGATTAAAAAAAAAAAAACACAAGAATAAAATAAAATAAAAAAGATAAAAAAACATGAACATGAAGTACTCCATTGTGAGAAAAGAATAAAAGACTAAAATAAAATCTCTCCCACTTTGCTGCTTGTCAATTCTCTGCATTGTCTTGTGCCAATAAATGCAAAAATGACCAAAAAAAAAGAAGAAAAAAAGAAACTGATAAAATAAGATAAAAAAATAAAACAAACAAATAAATAAATGAATAAAAATAAGATAAAATAATCCACACTACATTTAAACGGCCCCACTGTGAGCAGGTCTTGTAATCGCACTAATGCTGTGTTCACGTCACGACAGAATTACCGTAATTACACAATTATCATCCTCAGACCAGGAACGTTCCGTTTCTATGACAACGCTTGTAAAGCCACAGTGGATTCCTGTGGACGTTATGTGTGTTTAGCTGATATTCACACACTGTATTATTAAGACATTATCAACAGTAAACGACAGCAAACCTCAGAGACCTTCAGCCTGACGAACCTCCACTTAGAAACCTGTTCCCATTAAATACAGCCTGTTACTATGACAACGTCCAGGCGGGCCGGTCCTGCAGGATCTCTGTGTGCCAGCAGGAGACGCCAGAAGCTTCCGCTCCTCATTCTACCCACAATTCCACTGCAGACTCCCTCTGCGCTAACTGGGTCACTGGATATTTATATTTCTCCAGTCCGCGCTGCTGCTGCTCCTCACATCATTAACACACACACACACACACTCACTCTCACACTCACACACACACACACACTCACTCTCACACTCACACACACACACACACTCACTCTCACACTCACACACACACACACACTCACTCTCACACTCACACACACACACACACTCACTCTCACACTCACACACACACACACACTCACTCTCACACTCACACACACACACACACTCACTCTCACACTCACACACACACACACACTCACTCTCACACTCACACACACACACACACTCACACTCACACTCACTCACACACACTCACACTCACACACTCAAACACACACAAACACACACTCTCTCTTTGTGAGCTGCTCACATTGCACTGCAAAAAATCATTTTCTTACCAAGTATTTCTGCCTTGTTTTCCTAAATGACTTAAGACATTAAATCTTGTTTTTTTTTTTTGTCACAAAAACATCAAAATTAAGTATGTGTATGGTAAAAAAAAAAATTTCAATCTGACAGTGTGTCAGGAAAATCATCTTAATTCAAAAGAAAAACAATATTATTTTATGACCCCACTGGCAAATATATATATATATATATATATATATTTTTTTTTTACATAAATGTGCTTATTTTTGAAAAAAATTTCAGAAAACAAGACTTAATATCTTAAGTTATTTTGCTTTTCTATTAAATGTATCTTGATTTAAGAATTGTACTGAGAACAAGACAAAAAAAGAAAGTATTTTTTTGCTATGTGAGTTTAATGTGATTAATGTTCCACTGGAATCAAATATTGTAAAATAAATAAATAAATAAAACAAACAAACAAACAAAACAATAAAATACAAAAGTAAATGATAAAAAATAAGGTACAATTGTAAAAAAACAAAAACAAAAAAACACTGAATATAAACTGCTGTTGTCAGTAAAATAAATAAATAAGCTAACTAAATAAAACACTGAGTTAACCAGCAGAGTGTCAGCAAACGAAACCTCAAACACAGACAGGTTTGGTGTGACGTCTTGAATCATTAAAACAGGTTAAGGTGGTGATTTAGCACAGAAAACGTCTTCCTCAGAGAGAGAGTGATAGAGAGAGCGACACGCGTCTGTGTGTGTGTGTGTGTGTGTGTCTCACCTGACGGGAAGCGCTCCAGCACGGGCAGATTGTCCACCTGTAGCGTGGCGTTCCCGCCGCTCCGCGTGAATCTGACCACATGATACTTCCCGTCACTGACCATCACGCCGCTCTCCTCGATGACGATGTCATCCGTCCCCACGTTAAAGATCACGCCGACCCTCCCGCGCTCCTGACACACACACAGAGAGAGAGAGAGAGACAAACTCACTCAGAGACAGTCTGATCTCATAACAGACCTTCAGCACCATTCTCCTCCAAACCCATCCTGACATTCTGCTGCCTCTCTAATTCACACACATATCAAAGCTGTCACGTTCATGTGCTCAGATCATTCTTTGTGAAAGTAATGGTAATAATAAAATAAAGATCAAATAAAAGACTAAACTAAAATAAAAAAATCTCAAATAACAGAGCAATACTGACACGTACATATGATAAAAATAGTAAGAAATAAATTAAGATTAAAAAATAAAATAAAATATAAATATAAAAATACACAAAACAATTAAAATAAAAATATTCCTCAGCTTAGTCTACAGACCAATACTGAGTTATAAAACAATAAAAATAAATAAAATAAAGATCAAATAAAATGCTAAATAAATAATAATAATATAAAATTTAATAATTTAAAATATATATTCTTGTATTGCTGAGAGACTGTAAGTGCATCACCGTAAATGCGTCTTTAATTTTTTTACAAAATGAAATGAAAGTCAAAGCTCAATAAAATAATACTCAAAACTCATAAAATAATAATACAAACTAAGATAAAATAAGATAAAAGAAAAATAAATAATACAATTTTTAAAAAAGACAAAACACACACATGCACAAAAGATAAAATAAAATAAAAAAAGATAAAAATATAAAATAAACTAAAAATCATTATTCGTGGTTGATTTGTGGTCCTGGACTCCTGACAGACCGCGAGTGCATCACTGTAAATGTGCATCAGTTTTCACACAATGAAACGCTGCATCATCTGGATCCTCACACCGAGATGGATGTTCATATAAAGAAGTGTTTACTCTCACCGAGAGTCTGACGGGGCTCTGAACTTCCCATAAATAATGCAAATGCTGGAGGAGCTGCTGCTGAAACATTCAACCGAGACGAGCCATCAGTGTCCTGGAAGAGAATCCATTCAGAGTGTGGAAAACACTGGAGAACAGGTTCATGCAGGTGTATCTGGATCATATACTTGTGGTGTCATCACTAACACAAACGCATCTCACAGTGAACAGTGATGAAACTCATTTCTTTATGTGACGAACATGTGAATTGATGCGCAGCAAACACAGCGGCAGCTGAATATATCTGTGTGAGGAATGGACGTTCATGAATGCGCTCCAAACATCATGTCCTGATGAGCGTCTCTGTGCTGCTTTCCTTCATACCAATACAAGAGATCCGTACAGCAAGGATGGAAATGAAAGCGCGTCAGACACAGAGCTGATTTCACTGGACGCGTCTGATAGAAGTGATGATTACAAACATCTGACAATCCAACAGAACAGAACACACATCTAAGTCAATGTTATCACATACAGTGAGTGCATCTGGTCTGGCAGAACTGCTTCTTCCTGATTATTTCTGTCTGACGTTATGAGGAAAATAAACTTTATTCAGAGGGAAACAAGCCCTTGATACCTTATGTAATAGTGAAATATCTATATATCCACATAATAATAATAATAATATTTATTTACTTGTTTATGTATCTGCTATAATATTCAAATGCATATGATATTAAGGCCTGTTTTCAAAGGACTTTTATCTTAATATAAGTGTATATTTAAAGAAAAAAAACATGCCAATCCAACAAACCAGAATACTACTGTATACTCAAGACTCATTCTCTGAAAATGAGCCATACTATTTTATAAAATAATAACATAAATACACAATTAACTGTAGATGATATAATTCAATATTATATAAATCATATTTACACACAGACACAGACACACACACACACACTCACACACACACACACACACACACACACACAGACACACGAGTGTTACAGATGAAGCGTGTGAATGTGTTTGTGTTCATACTGCAGCATCCCGCTCTCACTGACAGAAACTAACACATCGACAGAGAGAGAGAGAGAGAGAGAGAGAAATCAAAAACCTCCAACTCAAAAAAGCATCTGGACCTGATGGGATAATATCCTCTAATCATAAAGATACAAAAAAGGACAATTAAATTCTGGAAACATCTGAAACTCAGTGACCCCCAATCACATCATTATAAAGCCCTGCAATACCAAGAGATGAGCAAAGAAAGCAAGCCCTCCCTCAGCTGATCCAGAGCTTCAGTCCTGATGCTTCACTAAGATCATCTCCAGGTTACGAATGTAACCATGGTTCCCCGAGGGAACGAGACGCTGCATCGGAAAACGATGCCGGAAGTATGGCACTGAGACGCAGCGTCTCGTTCCCTCAGGGAACCATGGTTACATTC